CCGCCCCGGGCCGGGCAGCCGAGGTGTGAAGGTCGGGGGGGGTCTCTGCCCGCAGCCCGCTGCCTGCCGCTGGCCCCCCGCCGCCGGCATCGCCCCTTCCCGCATGCAGCCCAGCCCGGGGGGGCAGCCGCCACCGCCGGGGGTTGTTGTTTTACCTGGCTTTAATGCTCGAGGATCAGCTTTCTTCCCCCCGTTTTTATTTTTTTCCTTCCCAGTCCTTCCAGCCCTTGGTGTTAAGCCTCATTCCTCGGTGAGCATTGCTAATAACGTTGGCAGATAGCTGGCATCGACTTGCACTTAATATTCCTGCCCCATTGGATCTGCTGATAAATCTCAACTCTGACGTCAAAGTCTTCACTTATATTCATGATCCAAGTCTGTGAATCAGAGCCGCTGTGATCAGAATAACAAGAAGGCTGGCTCCCTCCTCCCCATCCACATCCACACCCGCAGGCACGAGGGGGTGCGCGCACCCGCAGGCACCCGCACGCACCCATGCACGCACCCGCCCCGCCGTTCATTCATGAGCTCTCCCGCCACCCCGACGCACCTCCCCAAGGTCGGGGCCCTCCGCACCTGCGTTTTGCGGATGCAGCTTGGGCGCCAGCCAGGCCCCGGCGGCTCGCAAAGGCAGCCGGGCAAGGTTTATTTTTACCGCTTGTGCCGAGGGATGCGGGGATCTGAAGGGAGGGGGGCTGATCCGGCGTGGCATCGCTCGGCTGCCCCGCTCTTCAAGGGCAATGCCCAGGGACGGCAGCACCAGTCCCCTTGCAGCCCCAGGAGCCAGCAGCTGGGGGTCCTCGGGGGGCCCCGTATAACCAGGCTGGGGGAGATGCATCCCCCCGCGGGGGAGACATCGCACCCCAGAGCCTTTGCCCCGCACGGGCTTCCCTCCAGCCGGTGTAAAAGCTGGGATGAAGAGGATCAACACCTGGGAGCTTCGCGTGGGCTGCCCAGCCCGGCACCCGCCCTCCAGCGTGGGGGGACCTGCCTGAGGCCAGGGGGTGTGGGAGGTCTGTCCCCCCTCCGGCACCACAGAACCCACCCACCCCCATGGCTTCCTTCCCAACTATTTGGGAAAGTATCTGCCTGGAAAGGAACAAATCCCAAAGACACGATTATTTTTCCAGCCACAAATGGCTCCATGATTCAGAGAGGGAGCAGGATCTTCAAAGCAGGGATGCTCAGCTCCCGGATCGGCAATATTTCAGCTACACCTTCTCCCCCCTTTCCTACTGGTTTCATAACACTCCAGCTTTACTCCTTCATCCCCCACTCTCTTCCAGGCTGTAGCTATGCAGTGCAGCAAGCTCGATGCCGGGAAGGATTTCCAGCTCCTGATGTGCAAAGATATTTAGGTGAATATCGGTGGTTTTGGCTGAACCCAATCGTCCCAGTTAGGAGCATCAGGGTTCTTAATCAGGCCAAGCCCCGTCCCAGGGGACTTGAATCGTCATCTACCTGGGCCGCCAGCCGCGTGACTGAGCGCCGTTGTGTGCCGAGTGACATGAGCAGCATGAAAAGGGGCGGAGGAAATCTGAGCGAAGAGCTGAATGAATTTGCTCCCGCTCCCAGTAATTACGCACCGCCTGGGAAAGGGGAGGCGGGTGAGGAGCTTTGATTGACTCCCGTCGGCAGCAGCCTCTGCCAGGAGGTGGGTGCAGAAGACGGGCTGGACTGAGCTGTTGCGGCAGAGGGGATGTGACGGCCGTGCGAGGTGCTCTGCAGGGACACAGCTCACCCAGGGCCCCCAGGCTGAGATGACTGCGGGCAGCTTCAGCCCAGCCAGGCTGACGGGCCACGAGCAACCACAGGTCTGAGCAGGGACAGCCCTGCTGTCACTACCAGATCTGCCGGGGGCTGCCGAATCCCCTACCCGGCAGAGGGGAGGCTGCTGCAGCTCCGGGCCCCCAGGTCCAGCCGGCGGTGAGGCTGAGCAGGGATGGGCACGCGCAGACGCGGTGTGCATCCCTCCAGTAAGTGCCTTCAGACCCCCAGTTGCCCCAGTCTGGCCCTTGGATCCTCTCATCTGTAGCTGCCTCTTGCACAGACACGCACACCCCAATGGGTCTCAGCTGATCCCAAACCCCGTGGTCTTGCTGGCGGTTGGCTCGGACCTCCCGCTCCCTTCAGCATCCAACCCCTCCTGCAGTCTCACTCACAGAGACAGACTCAAACACCCGGGTCTCTCGGTTGACCCCCAGGCTCCACGGTGGCCCCAGTAGGCCCAAACCACCCTGCTGCCTCCCTTCCCCACCTTCAGTTCCTCCCCTCAACGTCCCACCGCAAGTTTGGCGCAATCCCAGGTTGCTTTCCCCGCGTCCCGCAGCGAGTACCAGACCCCGCAGGTATTATCCCCCTCCACTCGAGAGGTGCCCCCTTTCCGTGCACTCATGACAATGGACTTCACACCCAGCAGTCGGGGCTGCCTGCCCCCCTGCGACAGCCCGGGGAGGAGCAGCTCCGCATCTCCGATGAGGTTTTTTTGGGGTTTCACCGCCTGGCTGTGCTCCCCCCGCGTGCAAAGGGGTGCGCCGGGCTGGCGGCACGCCGGGAAGCACTGGCAGAAACCTGAAGCTTTTCCTCTTCTCCATCGTGCCGCAGCCGGGCCTCTGCCCGGATCCTGCAGGCAGCCGAACCTCAGCAGCTGAAACGCTGCTGCTGCTGCCCCACTGCACAAACCAGCCCCGCACCTGGGTATCGTGGCCCCGGGGCTGGCCGGTGGAGACTGCGTCCCCAGGGAGGGTCTCTCCTCCGGGTGGCAACATGGGCTGAAAGAGGTCTCAGGGCTGTGCCGACACATCTCCAGCCTCCTCTGCCTTTGGTCCCATGCCGAGGAGGACATAAACCATCCGATGTGCCGGCCACACAACTGTGTACCCAATTATTTCCCTGTTAGCTGGGAGCCATTTTAGGATGCCCCTAGACCTTCTCAGCGGTGCTGGTGCCTGCGCTGGGCACTGTGTGGCAGTGGAGGGGCTGCCAGGATTCGGCAGCTACGCAGGGGCCGGCATGTCTGTCTGTCTGTCTGTCTGAAAGGGGAAATTGTCTGTGCCGGAGCAGCCGGGGCTGCTGGGGCACCCCAGGTGTTTCGGGGTTTCCTTAAGGCACCGAGTGACAAAAATGACATTCCCTGGCCATTTTTCAACCAAGGCACGCCGCCTCCAGAGCTGCCCCAAATGCAAGCGGTGTTGCATCTGTGAGGATGCACCACCGCACATCATATTTGTAACGTTCGAGCATCTGCCTTTTATAGTTGCATTATAATGTCCTGAGCTCCCTGGATATCTGCAAGAACATTCTGACAATATATTAAGTATGCTTTATCTATATTCAAATTACAGACTCAATAGCGAGGAGTAAAAATCAAAGCTAATCAAAGTCACCAGCAAAAGCCTGGCGCTGTAATCACACAGCGAGAGGCCACCAGCCTCACCTGGGAACGCCGTTCGGCAAGGAGAAGGCTTTCCCTTGTCATTTCCCATCTTCATTTCTCATCTTCCTCCTTGGCTTTTGGCCCTTGGGAAGAAGATCAGTGCTAAACACCACGCACGGTCCTCCCCCGGCACTGCCCCGCAGGGATGCGGGGTGCTGCCAACCCACAGCAGGGCTTGACCTGGGTCTCATCCTGCCCTAGAAACTGGGCTTTTTTGGTTAAAAATCAAGTGGCCGGCAACGTGGCTGCCTGGCGGGCAGGAGATGAACTTGGGAGCCGCTGAATCTCTATCCCTGTCTCTGACTTGCTTCATTGCAGCTATTTCTATAGCCAGGTCTTCGTGGTGATTAGGTGGCCCTAAGAGGGAGCTAACGAACGCCTGGGTGGGTTACGGGGTGGCGGTCGGTAATGACCTGGCCGTCCAAGGCAGAGCCCCCTGGTAACCAAAGTTTGCACAAGGGCTGCTGTTTAACAGACATAACGGGTGGTACAGAGCTCACCAAGAGGAATAACTACGATGCCAAGAATCTGCAACAGCGGACGGACTGGCAGCATTTTCGCCACTGTGTGTTGGTTTTGCAAACAGCAACCGAAATGCCCTGAAAACCACAGGCAACCGAGCCAGCGGGCAGCTGCGTTTAGTTCCCCTGGGCTACGCGGCGAGCCCCACGCCATCGCCGACGGCTGGTAATGCCGGGGGCTTCCGCAGGCGCTGGCCCGGCTCCGCGGCCATGCGGGGAGCCCATCTGGGCATCCTCAGCTATCCATCATGGGCTGTAATAAAACCATACCTAAGGCACATTTGATAAAATAGATGTGATTCAATTCTCCATCATTTTTGTCTCTAAAAGCATTAAAATCAGCTTTATTTCTTTTCCTTGGGGAAACATCGTTACCTCCCTGCATCACACGAGCTTTTCCCACCCTGGCTCCGGCTCCTGCCAGAGCATCCCATGGCCGAGCCCGCAAACCCGTGAGCGCATTGCCTTGAAACCCCCCAAGGCAGGACTGCAAAGCCGCACCGCTGGAAATTCATCCCCGTATTTATACCGGCATCTTTTCCGCAGCGAGCGGATGCAGCCTTATTTCAGTGCCTCTGTTGTTCCCTATTACTCCAACGGTGCTTGAAGAGCTATAAGGAGGAAAAGCGCAGCTATAATTAGCAGTGCTGACTAATCAGGGTGGCAAACAAGCGCGCTGCGCCCACCAGCCTCCCCAAAACGGGGTCATCGGGGCCCTCGCACCGCTGGAGAGCGCGTGAAGTCCTACATTCAAAGGCTTTGCATAATCTTTGTGGCTACGGGGTGGAAATGAGGCCATTTTCTCACCGCTGCTGCCGTCGGAGAGCGGGGACTTCTCCCGGCGCTGCTTCGGCTGCTGTGCTCCAGCCTCCCAGCCCGGCAGGAGGAAGGACCAGGGCTCCGTGATGGGTTTGGGGGTTGAGGTGCTGATGTCAAACCCAGGCAGTGGAGGAGGTGGAGGCAGGCAGGCAGGAGTCCGGCTTATAAAATCATCCGGCTCTGTTGAAAAACAGTTGATTTGGCTGAAAAACCTCTCTCACGGGTAGCTGGAATGGACCCGTTCGAGGGCCCAGCTTGCAGAAGTGACTTCTGCCATCCTGCCTGCAACAGCACCGTTGCAACCTGACTTTTACCTCTTGGAGAGCTACGGATGGATGGTTGGCTTTTGCAGCACCAGGGAACACAGGTCCCAGCCTGCCCTGTGCTGCAGAGATGTTGCGAGACCTTCCCGCACCAAAATGAAGTATCTCTGGGTTGTCTGGTGTGGGGATGGTGGGGACGCAGTGTCTCACCGCACGGTGGCAATTAGACATCCAGCTGCTGTGAATGCTCACCCAGCTAGCGGCAGCCTCAGAGGGGTGCGGGCACCAAGGGGACGCGGGGCGGTTCGCAGCAGGGACACTGTACCCCAGCTCACACATCAGCAGGTTTGGCCCGGGAGGCTGTTGGGGTTCCCATCGTTGGGGCCGGGCTCAGCCACGCTCTGGCAGCAGGTCCGGGCTCCCAGGGCCAGCCCTGCTCGAGGACTGCCTGCGTCCCTTCATCCCGCTGGCACCTGCGCGGGGACAGGACCCCATTGCCCTTGCGCAGGGACAGGACCCCACCGGTGCACGCATGGGGTAAGGACTCAAACGGCACGTGCACGGGGACAAGCCCCCCAGGTCGGATGAGCGGGGGCAATGCCAAGCTGTGCCAGGAGGGAAGGAGCAGCCCTGTGTGATTTGAAGGCTTGCTCTGACTTCTCCTCCCGATTCCCACCAAACACTCAGGCCAAACCAGGGGGAGGATTTTTTCCTCCTTCCTTCGGCGGTATCATTCCCACCTCCATGATTTTGCTCCAAGTCCTCAAGCTCCACCGCTTTCCTGAGCCAGAGGAACACGTTTTGAAGCACCTTTGCTGGCACGCACCGTGTCACCATATGTCAGCTCAGCTCTGGCGGGCAGGGCTTCTGGGGCAAGGTGTTTTTGCTGCAATAAAGGGCTTTTGCACTGTATTTTCCTCCTTCTCCCAGGCTGCATTTGGTGCTCTGGCTGGCCACCTCATCAGGAGTGACTGTGTTTCCCCTACGCTGCGATTCACCAAGCCGTAGGGAACACTGGGAGCATGCAGGATGCAAGGCAAAATATTAAGGCAAATGATTGTGATAATTAATAATTAACAATAACCTAATTTACCTGACACGGCACAGAGGTAAGGAAGGTTTTTTGTGGCTTTGGAAGGGGCAAAATAAGAAAGATTCTTAAAAAAAAAGAAACCCCGGAGTCTTTCTGCAGCTGAGCGCAGGGCTGCCTTCCCTCCCTGCTGGTCTCTCGGCCACCTGCTGCCACCAGCGTGACCTTTCCAAAGCCAGGCTTGGAGCGAGCTGCTCCAGAGGAGCTCGGTCGCTGCGCCCGCGCTGGGCCCATCGTAACCCCTGAACCCCGGCAGGGACGCAGGTCTGAGGACCAGGAAGGTCCCAGGTCCATGAAGAAAAGCCGTCGGCTGCCCTGCAGCCGGCGATACATCAGCGCCGAAAGAAATCTGCAGCCACCGCGTGCTGGCGGGGATGGATTTGTTGCTCCATTGCAAGCGCTAAACCCCCATGCTGATCCCTCCCGAAGCGCCGGCACGGGGGGGTGTTAGGCAGCCCACCCAGCGGGGAAAAGCCCCCCGCGGCAGCGCTCAAAGGACCTCCAGCCTCTCCAGTTCCTTTCCCGCTGGGCAGGAAGGACGTCGGGTTTCATAAAACCCGGGGAACAAGTTCTCAGCTTTGAAGTCGAGCAAAAGGCAGCTCTGACACCCCCTCGCCCAAGCACAGCCGGTCCTCTCTATTTATTGATTTTAACTCTGGCTTCTGACATTTAAACAGGATCCTATGTGGAGTCACGGCGCCGGGCTCCCCCCTGAGCATCTCCCGAGCACAGGCACATTCCCTGGGCTTAGCCTGAGGATCTCATTGCCCGGATCCAGAGCCCTGGTCTGAAATGTGGGGTGGGCTAGGACTTTGTCAGAAAAAGGTCACAGCTGCTCGCTGGTAAGTGAAATAACTCGTGTAAAGCAAGCGCTTGGCTTGGAAAAAATTCAGCTTGAGTTAGGGAGAGTTATAACCGAGTAAAGCCAAGTGCTGGGAGCCGCCAGGAGCAGCCCCATGGGCTCACGTGAGACGCTGCCTCCCCCCGCCCTCCCGCTGCCTGCGTGCCCGAGCCGGACAAAGGGCCCCCCAGCCTCTCCAGTTCCTTTCCCGCGAAGGACGAAGGACGTCGGGTTTCATAAAACCCGGGGAACAAGTTCTCAGCTTTGAAAAAAGGCAGCTCTGACACCCCCTCGCCCAAGCACAGCCGGTCCTCTCTATTATTGATTTTTAACTCTGGCTTCTGACATTTAAACAGGATCCTATGTGGAGTCACGGCGCCGGGCTCCCCCCTGAGCATCTCCCGAGCACAGGCACATTCCCTGGGCTTAGCCTGAGGATCTCATTGCCCGGATCCAGAGCCCTGGTCTGAAATGTGGGGTGGGCTAGGACTTTGTCAGAAAAAGGTCACAGCTGCTCGCTGGTAAGTGAAATAACTCGTGTAAAGCAAGCGCTTGGCTTGGAAAAAATTCAGCTTGAGTTAGGGAGAGTTATAACCGAGTAAAGCCAAGTGCTGGGAGCCGCCAGGAGCAGCCCCATGGGCTCACGTGAGACGCTGCCTCCCCCCGCCCTCCCGCTGCCTGCGTGCCCGAGCCGGACTCCTGCCCAGCCCAGCAGGGTGGGGCCCAAAAAGAGCTAAAAATGCCCAGCTGCCCCTAAAATTATTAGTAACAGAAACAACACGGAAAAGGCGGACTTCAGCCCCCTGCATACAACAGGCTGGGTCGCTCCTCCAGCTCAGAGCACAGGCGTGAAGTCCTCGCCCCATCAATATGCGGGCGATGCTATTTCTGCCTATGAATATTTCAGTAGGAGCGGTGAAGCTTCCTGGCTTTCCCCGGGTGCGGGGCGACGTTTGCAGGCAGCACCGCTGCAGGCCACGGCCGCTGCGGGCGCCGGGCTTGCCAGCAACCTGGGTCTCATCCCAACCTTCAGCCCGAGCCCTATGCACCCGGATTTTGGGCGTATGGAGGCATTTTTCCCGCCCTGGGCATGGCGTTTTCTCCTTCAGCACCACTGCCCAGGGCTGCGTCTCAGTAGGGGGAATTTTCCCAGGATAAAAGAGACATTTCCAGGAGCGCAAACGCCAACCTGGAGCAAATTGCTGCTAAATATACTGGGAATCTGCCTTCTCCATCCTCCAGGCTGGGGTTTAAACCAGGAAAGTCCTCTATTCCCAAAGGATTTCCCTTTGCCCTGGGGACTTTACCCCAGAGCTGCGCCGTGCCTCTCCCTGCAGCAATGCTGGAGGTCGCTTGGCTGGGAAACATCGTCCCCCCAAGATTCCCACAGCCGAATTTACAGCAGAAAGACACTTGGCAGAGGGAGTGAGAAAGTAGAAAACTAGCAGTGGGGAAAGACCCTCCAAATACTTTAAACCTGCCAAATCTGAAGGGATTGGGGAGGTCTCGGTGGGAGTTCCTGGGAGCGGAGCAGCAGTTTCCCTGGCATGTGCAGAAGAACGATGCACGGCGCGGACAGAAGCAGGGTGCGTGGCACAGGTCATGCTTGGCCCCAGGGATGCGTCACCCCATGCTCAGCTAGGACTGAGCCTGTGGGTCCCACATGCCGCAGGCAGCCCTGGCACCGGCACCGGCTGGCTGCCCCCCGCGGCTCCTGCTTCCCACCGCCGGCAGAGAGCTGCAGGGGATTTACAGTTCGCAGCGCAGAGACTGTTTGCATCCGATCTGCCTTTATTTACCACCTGGGAGTCCCCAAGCAGGGCGAGGGCGGCGGGACGGCTGGGGAGGATGAAACACGGGACTGCACCTTCCCATCCAGTTTTGAGCTATATTTCCCTTATTTTTTTAAATTCTTTTCTCCCAAAAGGTCAGCTCTCTTGTCAGAGCTAGATGTCACGATCACCTTCCCTGATATCAGTGTAATCGTGTTTGTTGAGTCACTTGTTTAACGGGAAGAGGCTGCTGGTTGCTATAGGGACGGCAGCAGAGGGGAGAGGATCCCTTCGTTACCCTAATGACTGCTTGTGACAGAGAAAACGCAACCCCAAACAACTCCAGGCCAAACTCCCCTTCATCATAACTTTCGGACAGTTTGATATGCCGGGCTCTTTCCCCAGCCGCGGGGCTGCAGGGATGCCT